CTCTATAGGTTTTATGGACTGGTATGATTAGACAAAATTTAGTTTATGGACCTGAATATGCCTTTACTCCCCCAAGTACAAATCAGAGTAAGATAAAATTAGTGTGAGAATGAGAGCCATATTTTTTTCAGTTACATGCCAGTCTAAAGATTATATTGTGGGAGTGGGGGAAAAATACATTCTAACAAATCATATGTGCTGCTTAGACATTTAATTGCTTTCCTCAACATTAAATAAATTGCATATGTTTGGGAGACCTGTAATACAAAGGCAGATGTGTCAGCAAGATACAATTAAGTTGTGAATTGCCAAACAGGGATGTAATATGGCAATCCCTTATCTGTTGTGTGCAATTCTATTTGGATTACTCATGACCATTTCAGTGAGATTTCTCACAGAGCTGAGGAGAACTTCACTGGTTCTCATGCTATTCCATCTTGCTTCCCTGAAATAATACTACATTTGTGAATGTATTCATCTCTGTATACATTCTATCTTCCTTCATATATGTTTGCTCTCACTTTTGGAAGTCATGTTTGTGGTTTTTATCTTGTCTTTAGTGAGCTGCAGCTTGTTGCAGTGTATTATGTATTATATTTGCAGTATCAGTACAGATATGCCACACTGTATAAAATGTAAGAACATCTCTTCTATATGGAGAAATGAATCATTTCCAGGGAAGGAAGTTAAAATTATAATTCAATCAAGGCAATTCTGTTCTTTGTTTCCAGGCAGGAAGGGCACTATCTTAAGGACATCTGAATCTCATCTGTAATTACAAAGTTGTCATTCCTTTCTACAAACAATATAATTAAGTAATGCAAACTCTTAACAGAATGAAAGAGTTAAAATTGTCTTTTTCACTCAAAAAAGATTCTAATTAGTTTCTGACAAAAGATTGTCCTAATGCAATGCAATACAATGCAATACAATTATTGGCTAGTTTCTTTATTGAAACCATTGTCAATGGGCTAAGCTGCGAAGGCTGGAGGTGGGCGAGTACACTCCCAACTAATTGCAATTCAGAGTTTTTCAGGCATCCATTTTAGCCACAAACAAAAGCATTGTTTGCCTAATGCTATATGTGAAGTCATTCTTTTCTTGAACAAGGTCTGGATTTCCTTCCTCTTGAGGACAAAACTTTAGAAACCAAATTGTGTACCACAGAGAAAAAACTGAAGGTTCAGTATTGGAAAAGGAGGAAACAAGAACATACTTGCATGATTCCCAAGGCCATTTTACAGAATTCCTGCTTTCCTGGACTTTCAGTTGTCTGTAAGAGATAAGCATATAACTTTTTGAGGATCTATTCACTGAGAAGAGCTAATTAATCCTAATTTCCAAGATCAAGACTCTAGATACAAAATGTGATATACAAGATGGTCAGATACACCAGAAATCTGCTGCAGTGCCTAAGAAGTCAGCATGGAGGCTGCAGCTGAGCAAGTAGGAAAGCTGGTGCTTCTTCTTCATAAATGGTGGCACCACAGATCATAGTCTGGTCTTCTCTGTTCATTTCTGAATGGCAAATAATCCTTCCTGACTGCAGAAGTTAAACCACCTGCAATGTTACAAATTATTTGTTTTCCATTAGGTCTATAGGACATTCTGTTCTTTTTACCTGGTGCCATGTTAGTGCCTTCAAAGTTTTCTTTGGCTAGTAATAGAAATTTATTTTAGTTCTTCTTTTGAAATATGGCTGAAGAGGTTTCTACAAACACACACTCAGCAAATGCACTCAGATGTTCTAATTGAAGAATTCAGTGCTACAATAATTTCCAATAACCATTTCCAATTAATTATTTATGTATCAACATTTGTTTCTTAGCAAACTACCATTTGCATCACTTTTGCAGTATTTGTCTCTTTATTAATTATACTTTTAATAATTCTTTGATGTTTGGTCTCATCAACAAAGAAAAATGGATGGTGCCCACAAAACTTTTAGCCTTATCTTAATTCTGTATCCCTAACACCATTGCCAATAGCACAAGAGTAGATACATAATAGTTCAACTGGCAATTCTTCCCCTTTGTGCATTTCCTTGTCTCCTTTTCTCTCCTGTATGCCAGTATCCCTGAGTTTGTTCTGTAGAAGCAAAGGATGTTTCTGTATTAATGATTGCTTAAATAAATGAATTATGTTGCTATTGTACTTGCTTCTTTCTGTCCCAGACAATGACTATGAATTAGTTAGCATTAGAACATTGGAAAATCCTATGAATTTTAACAATTTGTTTGGAACAGTCTGTGTGCAGTATTGAATGATTTTACACCTCCTAATGCAAAACTGATTGTATCTCTACAAACCACAGTGGGAGTGTGTGAGGTCATTAAAGTTAGATTTGCAAGGGACATACATGGATTTCCCTCTCATATTATTATTTCCTGTGCTGATAATGCTAGTTTTGAGCTCTTGGTCAGAGTAGCTCATTTGTATTGAAAGATTTTCTTATCCTTTATCCTATTCATCTACCTTTCCAAACGTTTCATTTCAGAAGGGAAATGAACTGTGATTTTTCAATACTTAAAACATTCTTACAGGAAAACAAAGCCTTATGTTTTCAACTGGTAGTGTTGTCTCCAGAGATAATGGTCACAGAAAGACAGTGCAGTGTGAAAAGCAAATATACATGTCAGAACAGAAAATAACCATGTCTCCTTCCTGTCTTCATTGTTAAGAGTTTATTCCCTCTCTGAAGAAGGATTTCAGAGTGGCGTTGGTGTTTGGGCATCCAGGCATCTGCATAGGTAGAAAAATTACTGAGTTTTATTAAAAATTCTCCCTGGAATCCTAGATTTGTTATATATTTCAGCTCTTTGTCTATTATTATTTTTATTTTTAAAACAAAGATTTTTTAAAATCATGGATTCATAGGAGCTCACAAGATAATTAGCATCCTGCCAGTGACTGAGGGAGAAACACTGGTAAACGCAATCTCCTGAAAGCAATGAAACCCTATGTACTACTCACTGAGCAAGATCTTGCTGTATGAAGCCAGGTGGATTGCTTAAATAGACTTTTTTTTCCCTTCAGAACCAGGCATTCTATCCATAACAATTTTTTTTTAAAATAAACTTTTTTTTTTTTAAAAAAAAAAGGAATGTTAATAGCAACATATATTAAGGTTTAAACTTACCACTCTGTATTAACAACATTTACATAAAATGTATACTATTTAAATAATATATTTTTGATGGTTAGATTTCAAAGAAAGCTACTGAGGAGGAAAGAAAATTACTGTGTCTGCATCCAGAACCAAAGGTTGTTGACATTATTAAACAGCTTTTAACAGCAGACAAAAGAAACGTTTTCCTAATTTCAGTTTGTATTACTTCAGTAGCTAGTTCAAAGTGAAGGAATTGAAGCTGGAGCATGATTATCTTTAAATGATATGTGAATAAATTCTCAGGCTGGGATGCTGAGACTTATGAATTCATTCATTAGCTGTATATAAAATTTGCTTTGGTAATAAACCAGTTTTAAGTATAAAATGTTTGATTTATTTTTCCTCTGTGTGCAACATACTTATTGCAATTTTATTTAAATAATAAGTATACTTAAAAGGCTATGGTTTTGCATTTCAATTGAATTCCCATTTCCATCAAAAGCAACTTGATAAGAGTCCTAAATAAATAAAAAATAATATTCTAATAGAAAAGAATTATTCATTTCTAACAGAATGCTTTGTAAGTATTATGGATTTGAATAATTATGTTGAACTATAGCACTTCTTAAATGGGAATGTAAGGTGTTTTCCTGGTAGTGTAGG